AATTATTCCAATGAAATATAAATGTGTGAGTTATAAATCGGTCCTGGTTCAATTACTGTAGATAGGTTTGGCTGTGAGTCTTTCTTTTTCATTATTTGTATTTTATGCACACCTAATTTGGAATCACCAATTCTGTTTTTTCAAAACTGGCCTTCCTTCAACCCATCATTTTCTAACCACACCTTATCCAGTACAAGGTCACGGGGGAGCTTACTCCAAGTAAGCAATGGGGGCAAGACAGGACACACCCTAGACAGGAGGCTAGTCCATCTCATGGCACACAGAGATACAAACTTACCTGCTTGTCTTTGTGTTGTGAGAGAAAACCCGGCAGAAATGGGGACAACATACTGTACTAACTCCATGAAGATAGTGCCCAAGGAACTGAAGCCAGCGCCAGAGCATTGCAAGGCAGCAGTACTGCCCAAAACTGGACTTTTCTAGAGTAATTTATGTAATTTATTTACCACTTCAGAGACAATTAGAAATCAACAGAATATAGTAATTTAATATATATGTGACTTTTTTCATTTTAAAATTAGACTTCTTAGTTTACTTCTGCTTAAATATTCAACTACAATTGAGGGGTTATTACCTGACTTGCAAGATGGCTGATTTTACGAGCATGTTCCACCTCCCTGGACTTCACATCCCAGTGAAAAACTGACTTATACTTCTCTCCTTCTTCTCGGTATTTGAGCTAAAGAAAATTTACCATTTCATTTATCACATCAGCAGTTACAGGAAGTATCAAAGTTTTGAAAAGATATCAAAAGAATTGGTAATTTATAGCAAAGTTCAATTGGATTGATAATTTTAAGGCATATCGAGTAACAGACCAAAATATAAACTTTTCTAACTTAAACAGTTTTCTGAATCTATACTGAACATTGAGGACTTCTAGGGTGATCCAAGTAATGAATGTTTACTGTTCCAGACATCTGTGGAGCTTCATTTATTTTTCAATGCAATAACCTATTGACAATTTTTTAATTTACACTGAACTGTGGACAAAGCATCTTCCACGGCACTACAGACCTTTTTATACTTTTAATACACTACATAAAACTGAATCATTCCTTTACAATTTTAGAAAACCCTAAAACAAATGAGCTCTCACCTGCGAACTGTGAATGAGTGCAGTGTATGAAATGTAAACATATGTACCAGAGGAAGTGTAAATACTGCACCCTCAAAAACAGATCCATTCTAAGGGGATATTTGATATCCTGTCCTTTTGCATGCTGACTGTCACAATCACATTTTATTAACGGCCTAGGAATTCATACACACACTGTATAGGACTTTCCCCAAACCTGGTCTGATTGTAGTTCAGGAACAGAAGGTATAAAAACATCCTGTTCCAGAAAGGTATACAGCAGATTTGGCAATTGAATCCTCTCATTATTTTTTTAAGATCACTTTGAGCATATACAATTTCTTTTATTAGGAATTTGTCTTTTCACATAACCCAGCTTGCTCTCCATGAGACACACAGACAGGGAGAGAAGCTTGGGGTCAGAGCGCAGGGTCAGCCATTTACAGTATACGTCGCCCCTGGAGCAGTTGGGTTTAAGGGCCTTGATCAGGGGCCCAACGGAGTAGGATTTCTCTGCTGGATGCAGGATACAAACCGGCAACCGTCCAGCTACAGGTGCAGATCCTTAGCCACAGAGCCACTGCTTTAGTGTGCTTTTGGTATACAGTACCAGTTTGAAAAAAAAAATCAGTATTCACCAGTATACAGATTTGAATTTGACTGATTTTACTGTCAAAGAAGTGTCTCTAAAAACAACGATTGTATAGAAGTTAGCACACACTCGATAGTGTAGACTGAAAGCAGGGCTGTGATTGAGAGGAACAGGAGGTGTCTGGAGAAAGCAGGAGGTGAGCAGCTTACCCTGGATATAATTTTAACTGGTAAACTCATAAACTGGGAGGGAGAGTGAGGTGTCATGTCGCAGTCATGACACAAAAATAGAATAAATAGGAACACAACTCATTCCAGACCTGAAGTCTCATAGAACATAGGACTCATCCTGAACTTCATATGAACTATGAAAGCTTGTACACAAAGAATACCTATTTTAATAATTTTCATGATCTATTTTTAGTACTTTACTATGCCATCTTACTTTGCATTATATTATCTTGTTGTGTACTGTAATTGGCTCCTAATTTTACTGTATTACTACATTCTACCAGTTTTAATTAATATAACATCATCAGCACAACTCTTGAAGCTATTTTTAGGCTAGCCACTCACCTACAGTACATTTGGAAACAGTGACATTCTCGACATCCTGTTTTTTTTAAATGTCTGTATTGAAATTCTGACTGCACCTTTGAAGTATCGGACAAATACATCTTCAAATATGTTTCCAATGATTTATTTGAAACATTTCCTAATTGTATTTCAATGTAAATCAAGACAGGTGGATATGTATCAGTTTCACTAGAAAAAATGTTTAATTGCTTAGAAAAGACTGAAATCATTCTCAACTAATAGTGTCCACAGCACAGTATACTTTTTGTGTACCTTTGTCCTTCCATTCTGTACTCACAAGCATAATTTTTAAAAGTTAAACTTTTTATCTGCTTATAGAACATTCCTGATAAAGGTTAAATCATAACTGTGGAGAAAATTACCCATAGCACCTTCTTTTATTTTTGTTTTCAATATCACTCACCTCACTGACTGCTTCAGATTGCTTCTTTGCATTTAAGTTGATGGGTGTCTCATATACACTAGTGAAAGTGTTGTTCTTGGGGTTGTGCCTGTAGACATCATCAGATTTTACAGATGTACAGATGAATTTACACATATACAGATGAAATAGTCATATACTACTGGTGACACATATACTTTAAACATGGAGTTATTTAGTAATGAGCTATGATTGTTCTGAAGGAGATACTGTGTTATTTTGTATAAAATAAGTATATGCATGGAAGATACACAACGATAACATTGCCATAGTCATTCACAATGTTAAAACATTACTATTATTGCTAATAGATATCTACATGTCAAGATAAAAGAATATAAGGGGATTTTGTAATTGTCCGTTTTACTGTCTATTGAGGAAATAATACAAAAGCTTTGCTTTTTTCAAAATCAGCATACAGTAACATACATTTCAATAAAAGTAGTAATAATGCAAATAAATACACACATGCTTTAAGTACTCACACTTGGCAGTAGGGCTTTTTCTGATGGCTCACAAAATTATTTGTAGTTAGGATCATCTTACATATTTCGCAGTGAAAGCAGGCTTTATGCCAGGTCTATATAAGTCAAACAGGAAAGCAAAGCAAAATTTTCAGTACTCTAGATGGCATTGAACTTATCAGCAGCACTCTAATTTTTATTTTGAAAATATTACATACTTTTTTAAGATTGGATGTTGGTAAGTATTAAACTATATATTGGATCCAGTACTCACTTGTGTTTATGGCTTTCAGTATACATCCCAACACAACTTATAACAACCTTGCAAACATCAGAAGATGGCTACTGAATAGTTAGAGCAATAGTGGAAGGGAACGCATTCTGTAATTTGGCTGATGACAGATCCACAATACATTTACACAATGGTGCTATAAATTCCTGTTCTGTTCTTGTTAATTTAATTCAATATTTCTTGTGTTTGAACATTTTACTTCCCTCACAAGTCACAAGGGTTCGTTCACAAGTATCAAAACTGTACTGGAATTGATTCGTTATAAAAATCACTCTACAGTCACTATATATCCTTTGTCATATGAATATTAACCATATGAAATATAACCTTACCTTGTCAATGCAATTGATTTTCTCAGCTGGGTAAACAATATAGCCACACCTGGCACAAGGCTGGACATTCATGTTGAAAAAATATTGTATAAATAATTT